TTTTATAAAGGGAATACGATACAAAGAGGCCTGCAAGAGATTTTTCAACTGGTGGCTGGTCTTAATAATATCTATCTATGTTTATAACAAATTAGAAATTCAAGTGATGATTTTATTGTTCAATTTTGTGCTTTGTTAGGGGATGAGTTTATTTGCTGTTTGACAGGAAATAAATATAAAAGGTAAAAAAACTACAAAAAAAAAACTTAAGTTAATCAAATGTACTAATTATCTAGTTATATATATATATATATAAATTATCTTTCTAATTTTGATTAAAACTAACGTACTAAATATAGAAAATAAGAATCAAGCAATTAAAGTGATGATTTTATTGTTCATTTGTTGGCTTTATCAGTGGATGTGTTCATTTTCTGTTTGATAGGAAATAAATATAAAAGGAAAAACACTAAAATACTTGTTAAGTTAATCAAATGTACTAATAACTTAAATTTAAATATAAATATAACTTATAACAAAATAGAAATTCAAGTGATGATTTTATTGTTCAATTTTGTGCTTTGTTAGGGGATGAGTTTATTTGCTGTTTGACAGGAAATAAATATAAAAGGTAAAAAAACTACAAAAAAAAACTTAAGTTAATCAAATGTACTAATTATCTAGTTATATATATATATAAAAAATTATCTTTCCAATTTTGATTAAAACTAACGTACTAAATATAGAAAATAAGAATCAAGCAATTAAAGTGATGATTTTATTGTTCATTTGTTGGCTTTATCAGTGGATGAGTTCATTTTCTGTTTGACAGGAAATAAATATAAAAGGAAAAACACTAAAATACTTGTTAAGTTAATCAAATGTACTAATAACTTAAATTTGAATATAATTTTAATTCTTTCTCCATCTGGGTGGGGAGGGGGTCAGTGCCCCGAGCCGACTTTCTCATTGATTCCGCCACCGTACTAATTGTACGGGCTTGTTGTTTATTTACAGGCGGCGCTTTTGTGCGTTAGAAAAAAATATGTAATGAAGCGTCCTCGTGTCCGTGTTTCTAGTATTAGTCCATAGGAACAAAAGTATCACAGTAGTTTTCTAATAAGACATCAAGAGTGTTTTGCTGTCTGAACAGCGAAAATGCAGTATTCTTGTTAATCAGTAATTCCTTTCATTTTTCCCAAGCCTCTAAAGGGGATGCTCATGCACCACAGTAGCCCACTGGATGCGCCACTGAAGAATGCTTTAGCTTGCTGTACCGAGTGGTGTAGAGTATTAACATGAAGAGGGGAAAACTGATTGGGGTTAAAGGATTAAGTGGGGGAGCTGATATGATGCGATGTCTACTAAGCATTGGAGGTCAGCGGCAGAACAGGAGAGCAGGTTCGGGGGAATATCATTCTGTTGAAACAACTTGTTTGAAGACTAGAGGTGTCTTGGCCTATTTAATTTTTTTTAATGGGGTGCAATTTCTTAAACCATGCTACTGCATTCCTCTCATTTTACAAAAGGCCTATCATAGTGATGTTGAAAAAACAAGGGCAATAAATGAAAGTACACAATTTATATCGGCCCGCTGCTGGTCTCCAGCTCAAAAAGGTTGAATAACTGGACTGGCCTATATACTATTTTGCTAGTTTGCATACTATAGGGCATGTAATTGAGGTATAATTTCTGGAATTCACGTTCGTGTAGTTCTCTAAAGGTTTTTTTTTTTAACACATTTGGTCATTTCTTCCATAACTTTAATGGTTATTGAAAAAAATATGGCTATTCCAAATATTCGAGCTTATATTCAAGTGAATACCATGAACGAGGGAGATTTAAAAAAAAAATCAACATGTACTGTTACATTATATCATTTTTTTTTTTTTCGGTTTTTGACTTTCGTTTACCTCAAATGATTTCTAACCCCTCCCAGACTCCCCCACTGTTCGCGCACTTTATAGATTAAACGCTAAAAGTGTCATACTTTGGCCAGTTGCTCCTACATTCGAAATTAAAAGAAAATGATTACATTTGTGGGCGAAGAGGTCATGTTTTTTTTGTTACATTTGTTGGTGTTATCACATTTGTGGGCGATGATCATTATTACATTTATGGCCGCTGTTTGTTACATTTGTGGTACTGGTTGTTACATTTGTGGGCATTATTACATGTGGCGCTGTGTTGCTACATTCGTGGTTGTTATTAAATTTGTGAGCGTGTTCACATTTGTGGTTTCAACAAGAAACCAAATTCCTATAGTCAATTTATAGGACTAGATGGTAAATTAACGTATAAACTCTTATTTGATAATCGTTCTATTAGTATTATATTATACTGTATTCCTATAGTACGATTAAAAATTGTTACAAATGTAATTAAACAGTCCTTTGCCTATTTGTGACAATCATTCACAGAAACAGATATCATCGTGATGGACGAAAATTCTCAAAGAGAATCGTCATCTGAGTTCCACAAAATTAAGACGTGAGATCCAACATGTATCTCTAATGAAAAGCATATTATATGTAGTTTCCAATCTTCAGGCCACAGGCCCGTACGCAGGGAGGGAGTTGCGTACGCACCCACATAAATTACCGAATGTCCACATTTTCAGGGGTGCAAACTTCAAGGCACGATCTCGCACGTTCAAGAAATCTATCCACCAAAATTCTTTGACCAATCAGAGCAGTTTCAAACTAGGACTGCATCTAATTCGTCGTACACGTAAGGACTTTTAACTATGACAGTATTTATAATATTATTAAAAGAATTTTAGTGTTTTGTCCCCCAACCATGGTGGGGCTGAGGTGTTATCGACTCCCATCTGTGAAAGTCCTTCCCTGGCCTCCTCAATTTTGAATTCCTGGATCAGCCACTTTTACGCTTAAATCTAACAAAGTTGTATTTACATTGTGCTTAAAACATCTAGACTATGTGTATGTCCAATATGTAGGAATTTATTTTACTCGGCCTCCATTTATTTACGAGAATCTTAGAGAATCCTGTGTCAGTTAAATCATTTTCAACCTGGGCCCACCATATAGAAACTAGTGTTTAAAATTAATTGTTTTTCTAAAGCAAGTTAAGATATAGTTTAGTTTGTTTTGTGAATCATTATGTGTTCTTTTCTTTTCGTGTCCACTTACAAACACACACCAGATGTTGTGTTTCAGTAAAAACTGTTCCTCGTACTTGCATTAAAATTGATGGAAAACTCGCCCTCCCGCGAGCGGAAGTGAGCAGGGTAAATTTTGACTGTTTGACTATGTGGAGAAACTACAGAAAACAAATGAACCTGAGGGGTGCCTTTATTATTGATATATAGCGCCGCCGTGCGGACGGGGTAAAATTCCTCTCCGTGAACCGACAATGCATTCCGAACGGATATTCCACTATATTTGGAAGCTGATCTATCTTCTGTTATTTATTATCTTTGATCGCATTCCTATTTAAACATTTTAATTTCATGAGGTCCAACTGCTCAGGTTACCTTGAAACGGAATCCTATCTCAAAAAGTACTGTCACGACTTCTAATAGGGTGCACCCCCCGCACCCCCACCCCTATCTCGTGGTAGTACTTCGCATTTCGTTTCATTGCAACATACAGAGTCGGACCTCTCCAATTATTATGGCCTATTAATACTTAATTTAAAATCGAATGCGACTACTCCAATTTAATACAACCCATCCAGAGAAACAAACAAAAGTAAAACATTTAGCAATCATAATGACCTACGCAATAAGACTCAAAATATCTTTCTCTTGAGAATGAGCCCTCAGGAATACACATTCAGAAGTATTTTACAATACCTACATAGACAAATAATATAGTAGACCAACTATTTGTATACCTGAACAAGTTCTATACCTTAACATTTGTTATTTCAACAGCAATTACCAGGGAGATGGAACCACTTTATGCCTTCCTAATCATTTTAACCCATAATTGTGCAATTACCAAATCAGGTTCCTGCAGAGCTCATTTTCAATGGTAACTTGCTGCTGAACGAAATTGAAATTCATTTTGTAAATCACTAATCGTACACTCATTAAGCATTGACATGACATATCAGAACATAAGGTAGCTGACCACCAAATCTTCTACTTCGGAGTTTCTGCGTAATAGGCCTATACGCGAAAACTCTAAAATCGGAGTAATTCAAACTTTTAATCAAACTTCCGATTCGGTGTTTCTGCGTACTATAGGCGAAAAGTCCAAAATCCTAGTTTTCATACTAATGAATTAAATCTCCGATTTCGGAGTTTCTGCATAGGCCTATTATTACAATTGAAACTCTCTCCATAATAATCAACCCTCTGATTTTTTAGGTTCGTGGACTATACACGAAAACTAGAAAATCGGAGTTTTCAAACTTTTAACAAACACTCTGAATTCGGAGGTTCTGCTTACTATACGCGAAAACTCAAAAATCGGAGTTTTCAAACTCTTAACCAACCCTCAGATTTCAGAGGTTCTGTGTACTATACGCAAAACCTCAGAAATCGGAGGTTTGATTACAAGTTTTGCCATGCTCGTTTTTCTCTCTCTGTACGCAGAAACTTCGAAATCGGTAGTTTAATTGAAAGTTTGAAAACTCCGATTTTGGAGTTTTCGCGTATAGTGCGCAAATCCTCCAAAATCGGAGGGTTGATTAAAAGTTTTGCTCCCTCTATATATAATATAGAAAGATATTGTTTAATTGATAGTACATAGAAACTCCGAAATCGGAGGTTTGAATAATGGTTTGAAAACTCCGATTTTTAGGTTTTTGCGTATAGTACGCAAAACTTCCAAAGTCGGAGGATTGATTAAAAATTTTTCTCTGTATCGAGAGAGCTTGTTTAATTAATAGTAGCAAGAAACTCCGAAATCGTAGGTTTGATTGAAAGTTTAAAACTCCGATTTTTATTTTTTTCACGTATAGATCGCAAAACCTAAAAAATCGGAGTTTTGGCGGCGGGTGCAGATACTCCGATTTTAGATTAACTAAATATCCTCAGCTGAAACTCAGCTTCATAAAAATTATCAAATAATAATTGAAAATATTGGTTACTACATATAGCAATAGGCCATTGCAGTAAAAGTAGTTTTATCTTTAAACCCAACATTAACAACTGTAGGAATATTTGCGCATCCACTTCTGGGTTGTACTACAGGATAAACAATTTCCCCATTTTTGACCCAGCCAAATTCACAAACGTCATATCCTGACTGCTGTGCGTACTCCACTTCTATTTTCGATGCAATTCTACCACCGCGACTCTTGCACAAAGCATCAGCATCGTAGTAGTTTAAAGTGTGACGACCTTGTCCTTGTCCACTCATTACACGATGAGAAGGGAAAGGGTCAATGTAAGACTGGTTTGCTAGTGGAACCAAACAAAATGCTTGAGAATCACCCGTCAATGGCTTGAAGCGAATAAAATTACCCGCCGGATAAAGCCAGAAGTCTGGTGGAGTATGTCCTTCACATGGATTCCCTTCCAACATCCCCGAGAGCCATCCATTTCCGCAAAGATTAACTCCAAGTGACAAAGAGTTATTATAAACATTAAGAGGGGTTGCAAGCTGACCATTGAATTTAGTACTGCAACATATCTTGGCATCTTCTGCATTCAACATTTTCGAGTTACTATTTGTCAATCGAATGATCCGCTGGGTTTTTGGCAAATAGTCCAAAATATCTGCCGAAGTATTATATTCCTTGTGACAATAAACCCCACTCTGATATGACTGACAAGGAAACACATTGCTACGTTGTTCTGGTGGCTTTAATATACAGGCGTCTTTTAGTTCGGTGAATGCAATCTCTCCACTGATAAGCCATCCCTCTTTGCAGTTCTCCAAACTTGGTTGAAACGCGTTGTATAACAGCTCATATGAAGCAATGGATCCTAATTGATAACGGCATGATGCGGCGGCATTTTTATAATCATCTTCACGTGCTATGAAATAAATGCCATCTGAATTTAAGGAAAACAGTATTAGAATTTATTAAAATTTAAGATAAAACTTAAACTGATTTCAGTATAAATAGGCTATATGCAAATATTCTACCTTTTACTGGCCACTGAAAACAGTGTTGTTCGAAGATTCTTTGTTCAGTATTTTTCCTTTTTAATATATAAGTGTATATATATGTATATATATATATATACATATATATACATATATATGTACATATATGTATATATGTATTATATATATATATATGAATAAAAAAGACTTCAAAGGCATAATATGTTGTAAATTTCAGGTTTATTCCAAACGTTTCGCCGGTTATGGCTTCATCAGTGGACTAACATCGTATATTACAAAGCAACGTATAATAAGACAAAGGCCTGTTACGGTCGAATGACTATGCATTGACTACTACTATTTGTCCTACACATCTATATGTAAATCTCAGTATACCGTACCTGTGAGTGATATCCATTAAGGTATATGATCAGGTATATTCCTATATATGTTTATGTGTAATATGTGGGTGTGGATATGTGTAAATGTCCACACCCACATATACATATACATAAATATGTGAATACAGATGTATAAATAATATTATACTCATTAAAGTCCATTAGCTGTAAACGTCAGTCAATTGTTAATATTCTTCATACACATCCGTTCATAATATTAACTTTATATTTCTTAATCTCCAGCGCTTCTACTATTCTTGTTAATTCATATCCAACCAAGGCATGGGA